TGATTGTCCTCAGGGCAAATGTTTGCATTGTGGAATGATGGGACACTCCAAAAGCCGTTGATTCGAGCTAATTGGGTATCTCGAGAATTGAGATAAGACATGTGACCCTCGCTTCAACAAACCTCAAGCTTCTGTTGCAGAAACTAAGGATGATTCAGCGGATGTAGCAAGCAAAGCATCCGCTCTGATTGCCGTGGCAGGTACCGATGGTAAGGCACTTAATGTCTACACTTCTGTTATGAATAATACATGGATAATTGATTCTGGAGCTACTAAACATATGACTTGTGATTCTAGACAGGTTTCCTCACTAAAAAACTCTACCTATACGTTAATGTGGCTTATGGTGATGCCACCCCAGTTCTTGGGGAAAGCATGGTTTCCCTTTCTGATACCATAAAACTTGATACTGTCCTTGTGGTTCCCTCCTTAAATTATAATTTATTGTCGGTTGCCCAAATAACCTTTGCCTTACACTGTTTGGTGGTTTTTTGGCCTTATTTTTGTGTATTTAAGGACATCCGGACGTGGAATACGATTGGTTATGGTATTGGACGAAGGAAGCTGTACTTCCTCGAGTTGAATTCCAGTAGCTCGGGATTGCTCACTTAAGCATTATCAGTGAAAGGGACTCCAGCTGAGAATAATAAAGGGTCCGACATATAGATGTGGCACCGTCATCTTGGCTATGCTTCGTTTGGTTATTTGCATAAGTTATTTCCTAGTTTGTTTGTGAAAAACAATGTTTCTCAGTTGAAGTGTGATGTGTGTGAAATGGCTAAAAGTTATCAAACTTCTTTTCCTCCAAGTTTAAATAAGAGTTCCGTTCCTTTTATGATTGTGCACTCGGATGTTTGGGGTCCTTCCAAAATCGCATCTCTTGGTGAAGCTCATTGGTTTGTCACATTTATTGATGATTGTACGAGAATGACTTGGGTTACTTTGTTAAAACCAAAAAATGATGTTAGTATGGACTTTAAGAAATTTCACAAAATGGTTTCGATACAATACAATATGAAAATTCAGGTGGTTCGAAGTGATAATGAAGGCGAGTATGTTAATTCTGAACCCCAGTCTTTCTTTGACATGCATGGTATTGTTCATCAAACCACATGCCTGTATACCCCTCAGCAAAATGGGGTGGCTGAACAGAAGAATTGACACTTGTTAGAAATGGTTTGTGCTTCTTTTCTTGAGTCACGTCTTCCCTTCTATTATTGGAGTGAGGCCTTCACGTCTGCTGCCTACCTTATTAATCGGGTTATCTCTCAAACTCTCATGTTTCAAACATCGTTTTCAGACTCTTATGTCTCTACTCAGTTGCCCGCCGATCCTTAACCTTTCCCCTCTTGTTCTTGGCTGCGTGGCTTTCGTCCACACGCACTCTTCACAAAGGCAAAACAAACTTGAACCTCGAGCTCTTTGATGTGTGTTTATAGGGTATGCTACTACTCTCATAAATGTTATCGGTACCATCACCTTCCAACCAAGAAAATGTTTATCACTGATGATGTCACTTTTCATGAAACAGAGATGTATTTTGGTTCCTCTGAGTCCTCACTTTAGGGGGAGTTTCAAGGTGATGAAGTTTATATGTTTGATTATGAAACTGAGCAGCAAGCTACAGTGTAGCCACCCACCACCGAACGGTAGGCTGCCGAGCCCAAGATAGTAGATAACATGACCCTCTTAGTCCCTTTGCAGTTGGAACCCACGGTTGTAGAAGAAATAGTACATTTTGACTCGTCTCTTAGTGATTCTCATAACCAATCGCCTTTTACTCCATATGGACCACCGCTTCGTAGTCTCCCGAAAAGGATTAATCGAGGTATTCCTAAACCCATTTATGAGGTAAACCCTAAGTGTAAAACTAAATATTCGATGAGTGAACCAACCAATAACTCGAGAGTGAGGTACCCATTAAACAACTATGTGTCAACCTGTCACCTATCTGAATCAAATAAGTCGTTTGTGAATCAATTATCTACTGTATATATTCTTAACAATGTGCAGGAAGCCTTAGCTGATACTAGATGGAAAGAAGCAATGAATGAGAAACTAAGATCGCTGAAGAAAAATGCTACTTGGGAACTATCGGACTTGCCAGCAAGCAAGAAACCTGTGGGATGTAAATTGGTCTATACAATGAAATACAAAGTAGATGGAACTGTTGATCGGTTTAAAGCAAGACTAGTGGCAAAGGGGTACACTAAAAAATATGGCATAGATTACACGGACACCTTTGCTCCAATAGCCAAGATCAATATTGTTCGAGTTCTATTGTCCCTGGCAGCGAACCTAGACTAGCCACTTCAACAGTTCGATGTAAAAAATGCATTCCTACATGGAGATTTGATTGAAGAAATTTATATGGAGCTTCCAGCAGGATGTACCGGAACAGACATGAACAAGGGTAAGGTATGTAAGCTAAAAAAGTCATTTTATGCATTAAAGCAGTCACCAAGAGCATGGTTTGGCAGGTTCGCTAAATCAATGAAGGCATTCGGGTATAGTCAGACTCAATTAGATGCCTCAAATTTTCGAGTTAGCTAATATTTTGTAAAAATGATCTATAAAGTACTACTTGAAAAATAAATGAGTTAATCGTTGAAGTTTGATGTGGTGTGAACCCACAACTAATCTCCAAGTTTTTTTCAAAATGGGAATCTCTTTGTTTAAAGGCTCTATATATATTTTCAGTACAATACGGTAATAGTAGTTTTGAATATCAATATCAAACTAAATATCTTCAATTTGGTATAATTATCAATTAACACGAAATTAGTACAGTACGGTACACGAAATTAGCACACTCTCCTTCTAGCGTATATAATATGGTTTGTTAAAAAAAAAAAATAATAATAATCAATTCATCCAAACAAATACAAAATGACCCTAATGGTAGTCCAAGCTCACAAATGGGCTCAGTCCAGTAACAGCGAATGGGCCTAAAGCTTATAAGGTCGAGACTCGGCTGTACTCTAAAACCCGAAACTGGTTTCAACAGAGAAATGGGTGAGAGAAACAGCAGCAGCAGCAGCAGCAGCAGTAGCGAGGAAGATGGAGACTTGGAGTGGAAAGCAGCCATCAGCTCAGCCGCTGCGGGGGCGTCCTCTTTTATGTCTTCCCTCGTCAACGGAGTTTCTGCTACCGAAAATAATGGCGGCGGCGGTAGCGGAGATAACAAGCAGAGTAAAACCCAGCAGCAGCAGCAGCTTCCCAAGCACTACCAAATCAAGGTCACCCAGCTCAATCAATCAATCCCCATATTTTATTTTCACTTTTTTCAATCGGTTTCCTTTTTAATGGTTTATTTTTATTTTTACTAATTTGATTGTGAAATAAGCATTTTGTGGGATAAAAGATGAGAATTTAATTGTATAGAAACTGAAGGTAAGAAGCTTTGTTGGCAGGCACAAAAGATTTTGGATGAAATAATAGGAAAGAATTTGGAGATTGTTAGTGATCCCCTGATTCATTTACCAGATGATGAGCCTATGGGGGATAATGAAGAGGAAGGTTGTATTCGCTTGTTCAAAAATGCTCCCCCTGGGATTGTGTTCGATCATGTAGGTGAGTGATTCCCATCAAACTCTTTGTTTGTAAACAACGGGTTTAGGCCCAGTTTGGTGTGTAGGATTGGTTTGAATTTGGATAACTTCTGAGATTCAGCGCTGATGAAGAATTGGATACCAACTTGCAGTTGAGGGTAGAAGATGGATTAGTCACGAAGGGAAACTTATCCCTCGCGATCTTCTACCTTTGCCTGGACAAAATATGCAAGTGGGGCGTCCATTTTTCATTCAACATTCATTGATTCTAGCGAGTTATCCAATCTTAGACAATCGTAGACACCAAATGAGGCCTCATGGTCTAGGGTTTAGGCACATGTAGGCTGTGACTTCAATGCAATTGGCGTTGTGGTAGTTACTACTAATTTTCTGTCAAGTTCTTCCACCATGAGATGACTAGTGAATTTCAACATGCCTTTCATAATCTTTGCATTGGCAAGTTGGCCGTTCTCTGGTGCCAACCCACTGATGTATTTCATGCCCATTGCTAAACTGTGAGCTTGAACTGAAAGTTATGTGAATGCTGCCAGATCCACAGCCGCTGAGAAGGAGACCAAGAATTCTACCTGGAAAAGTAATTAATGAGAAATCGAAGAAGGTCTTCATTTGTTATCCCGGGTTCTCAATTGCATTAGGAGATTTATTGTTTACACAATAGCTACTTATCCGTTTATTGTATTGCCTAATTGTTGGCAGTTTAAACGACAACTCCAATCTGTTGCTGTTGATGGGAAAGATATATTGGCTGCCGCAAGAGACAAATGCCAGACATCAATGTCTAGGCTAGAAGCGAAAGATGCAGCGGCGAAAGCAGCGGCAAAAAGAGAAGAGGAAAGAGTTGCACAACTGAAGAAAATCAGGGGCGAGAAATGGCTACCTTGTATTGCCAAAGAAATGAAGTTGAAATCCAATCGTTGAAATGCCTTAATCGTTGCACTCACCTTGATTTGTCACATAGAAATCCTAGACGGGCAAATAGACATGACGTTTTGTTACCTGATAATTCATGAGATCGATTTGACGAGTTTGAGCCAGCAGCTTTTCTGTTTTTACCCTTTTTATCTGTTTGTCTGTCTTACCGCAATTAGTTTCACTTACCAGTACATTGTTATGTTTCATTAATTTATCCACATAGCTGAGATCATGCATCAAGTTAATAGTGCAGGGCAGTTGAGCGGGCAGATCAGTCTGTCGATTGAGCTTGAGAAGGAAGCATTTTCTGTCTCTGGATGGATGTTTATCGCCGAGATTGGATCCTAGGCAGCTGATTTGATTGGGGAGACTCCTTGGTAGCCATTGCACCTCCCTTCTCTATCCCCCTAGTTGTATGTTAACTGGCAATGTTCTCCGACTCTCTTCCTCTTCGGGTACCAGTTCGGCGTTCTTTCTTTGCAAGCGGAAACATCACACCGGCGATAGTTGTCTAACAAATCTTAAAACCAACTGCATATTCAGCTTAAACATATATTTTACAATAAGATGGGAGAGATTTCCCGTAAATTAAGAAGGAAGAAAGATAAAGAATTGTGCAAGGAAAATTGGCTTTTAGGTTTTGTGAGGGGTAAGGCCGTAAAAAGGACAATAATAAAAGGATCAAGACGACGCTGTTTTGATCCCCCCAGCCACCTCAGCATAAACTTTGTATATCCAATCAAGCACGAGCATCCACGACAACTATCTAGACGTCCAACTTCATTACACAATGACACTGAAAACATGAAATTCCTCCCCTAACTTCCCTTCCACTACTTTATTGCTAGTTGAATGTTCGAAAGCCACATTGCGCAAGGCAGCTTTCAAACAAAATAAATCGATTAATTAACTCGATGGAAGGAACTGGATTATGCAGGAAACGAACAATTTCCTAGCTGCAGGGAACGAGAAAATAACTTACATCTTCGTTTTACTTCTTCCCTGGTAAAACTATGTTCTTTGTAGGATGTTACGTTGCAGGAAAGGCCGCAACTGGTACCAACCAACCAACTTTAAAGACCTTTTCTTCTATCACGCCTGCAGATACCCTTTCTCCTCCAAATATGATATCACGGTTTCAGCCATCTCGCCTGGGGTGACACAATCCGTACCCTTCTGCTGCAATACTATCTGCAAATCAATAAGTTGGACTCCAGCATAAGAGATTAACATCCGAACGATGAAAGCATACTAAGAAAACAGTAAACTTAAAACAGTAAAATACAGGACATGAATGACATAGGGAAAATTACAAGCTTGATTTCATTGTTTCATGGTCCAGTATAAACTCTAATAAAAGTTCAGTGAGATGGTGCCTAGTGAAATGGTGCCAGTCACACTTTTACCCCTCAACCCATTTTCATTTGGATCGTTCAACTATTCTGAATCTACATAGAAAATTAGTATTCCGCGGGATGGCTCAAACATAAAATTCCTTACATGTTACAACCACTAAGATGGATGTGGATATAATTTCGTTTCAGACTGCAAGGCAGATCTTTAGAACTGCATACGTATATCTCGACACCACCAAAGCCAATCACACTAGTATGATCTTTCTTTTTAATTTATTTTACTCTTCTCTGTCTGATGAGTAATTACTTTATTCAGAAAAATGCAAAGGAATGCCACTCGACACAGAAGCATGATTTTACGTACCTCACACTTTAATGGTGGCTCATATGGATCATCAACCCCTGTAAAGCCTGCAGAATGCCAAAGAAATTGTTCACCGCTTATTATTTGGTAAGACTAATTTCCCTGGGGAGGGGAAATAAATAATGCCACACGATAATTTGGCACTGGATAGGCATTAAATACAAACTTCTAGAAAATACCTTTGATTTTTCCAGCTCGTGCAAGCTTGTAGAGTCCCTTTGGGTCCCTATTCTCACACACGTGCAGCGGCACGTCCATGTACACCTGAGAATTGTGAGTTTTGTCAGCTTAACAGTCATCACTGGCAAGATAGAGCCTCTTGTCCTTTGTTCAAACCAAATTCAATCCGTTATATTTTTGGATTGAATTCATTCCTCATGTTAAAGACACCACATACCTCAATAAAATCTCCTTCAGGAAATAATGCACGGCAGGCATCTCGGTCCTTTCCGTAGGGAGATATTAAGCTAGCAATACAAATGACGCCAGCATCCGCAAAGAGCTTAGCTACCTCGGCTTTTTTTTTTAGAATTAAATCAGTAAAAGGATACAAGAAAAAAAAAAAAAAAAAAGAAGAGGGAAAAGCCAATAATTTAACTACAAAAATACCCACCAATTCTTCGTATGTTTTCTGCACGATCTTCTGCTTTGAAACTAAGATCACGATTTAGACCATGACGAACGTTGTCACCATCAAGTATGTAGGTTAGCCTTCCTCTCATGTGCAAGCCTTGACTCAAAGCACATGCCACAGTGCTTTTTCCTAAATTCAAAGACCAAGATATGATAATGTTGGTTATGAGATTGCGTAAACTAAGCAGTAACAAATTGAATAGAAAGAATTTCAGCAGTATATAAAGTTGTACCAAGCAATCTCAAAATGTCTGTATCTTAAAATTCTTCCAATTGGGGAGAAAGTTAATGTGTTAAATTTCTGCTCTCATAGTTCTTCCTTTATAGTAAACACTCCGATGTGGCTATAACTATTAGTTAAAATTAAAATGACAGGGTACTCCTATGTGTTGCATATTACCAATGTAAAAAAATAAAGGTATAATAAGCAATATTACAACTAAGAAGCAGCAGAGATGGGTACTAAAGGAAAACACGCAGAAAGACATTGTTAGCTAACAAGAGATCTCTTTCCATTCCAATGCGCGTGTTTGTGTGTGAGAGACAGCGAGATAAGTAATGCACTCATACTAGTCAATTTCTTATCCTCTTTGGACATATTTCTTTGAAAGGGAAAGATGAGGTCAAATGATGGCACCACCTTTCATGCAGGTATCATCACCTTGCCTTCTGGTTATTGAGATGCATAATGCCAGAAGGGTTATATGCCGTATCAGCATGATTACTTCTACGCAAGTTTAACTACAAACCACAAATTCCCATATTAAAATATGCACAACAGAAAACAGCCAAAACTTACAAACTTCAGAACTGTGAAAAAAAAAAACAACATAACAAATTTTGCAAAAGAATACCTATGTAAGAAAAGAGCTGAAACATTGTGGGCATGTGCAGATAACAAAGATTGCTTCTGCGACGCCAATTAGCATTTCATATAGCAAAAGAGAATAGAAACAAACCTGAACCACTTAAACCAGTAATCCATATGACACAGCCTTTCTGCTTAAGTAATTGTTGCCTATCAAGTTTCTCCACCGAGCACTTATGCCACACAATGTTTTCCGGGTTCTCCATGGTTGACATCGGTACAAATTTCTACCTAGTTAGATGGTTGGACTAAATTAGAACCCCAAATCCATCCATAGAAACCAATAGATAACCTTACAACATTCTATAACAATAACACTACTCATGCTCATGGACTGAGAATTTTTCTTCACCTTAATGCCAAATTGCCAAATAAAACCTTTAAATTATGCTAACATCCTCCATAATTTAAAGCATGGATCATTAATCAGTTATATTTAACACAAGTGAAAATTTTTATACAAAAAGAAAAGGAAAAAAAAACCCTCCAACATTCACCAGATCTGTTATCAGATAATTAATAGATAAAACAGGTATGAACAGCCCTTGAAGCTAAAAATAAGTACGAAATTCAAGGCCGATTCATAACCAAAACAGCAAGAATCCCACAAAATGCTCACTGATTTACGTCTCAACCGAAAAATAAATGAGCAGAAGAAAGAAAGAAGCAAGGTTCATATGGTTACTGAATCATCAACCTCCTAGGAATCACTTGAAATGCTTCAATTGAGCTCGAAAATGGCGGCTGGTGGCACCGATGAGAAGTAACAGCATGAATGTTGTATACAGGAGAGGAAGATACAGAGAGGGGCTGAGAGGGGCTGACAACATAGCAAAATAGATAGTAAAAGAAGGAAGTAAAAATGAATCGAGGCCAGAACCAATCATTTCACTAACCAGTGCAAACGGCGGAGGCGCGCTGTCATTATAAAAGTGAAATTTGTTTTTTAAGAAAATGATCTTCTTCGGATTCTTTCCTTCTAATCCATCAATTCAGATCATTGAAATTTGATCAAACAACTACAAATAAGAGTTTATTTTAAAGTTATAATAAATTTAACCATTGGATTTTCAATGGTCTGGATCCCCGAACTTGGTAGATTAGGAGGAAGGAATCTGAAGAGTATCCCTTTCCCTTTTTTAAATGTTTATTCAATACATAATAATATGTAACATATGTGTCCGTATTCTTGACACGTTGAAAAATCTATCAGCCTACTGCCCTTCATTTCATGTCTCCCTCCATATGTCTTGACTATTTGTTTGACATGTGTCCATGTGTTATGTAGTTGACTGATAATTAACGGTGTTAAGGTCTATATTAGATGTTAAAGGTTTGAAAAAATAAAATAGGACGGACCATAAGGCATCGGAGAACACGAACTAAAGACCCAACCACTCTCTACAAACCCAGTCGGCAGCCGCAATATCCACCCCGCCTCTCCTCGCCACCACGCCTCTTATTCTCTCTCTCTCTCTTCCTTCCTCATCAAAGTCCCGCATTATCTAGTTATCATGGTCGTTGTTGGGAAGAATACACACCAATCCCCAACGATTTAACAATTATTGTTCAACAAAATTGAACAGGAGTCCATTGAATTTAATCGAATTGAACTGGAATCGACGAATCTTATCAGGATAAATCGGAGTCAACGAATTTAATCGCATACAAGTCAGACTAATCCAATGGAACCATACCTGTTCTTTTTCCGGTGATGAGGTCGGAGAAACAGTAGACAGAGAAGGAGCGTGCTACTAGGATGGATTGTTGTGGTTGAGTTAGTGGGAAGTTTGGGTGCCTGTCATGTACTCCAGTTTTTCTTTTCCTATATAAAATTATTTTAACCCTGTTTACTCTCTGTTTTTGTTTTTTTTTTAACAAGCGATATTGTCTACATTAAAAGCTGAAAGAGTGTGTTTATGATTCAAATTCGCATTTGGCAAAAATTAAACAAAACACATCTCGCTTGTAAACAAAGAGGAATACTATTAGACCGTACTACTAAGTGATTACTCTCTATTAGTTAAGAAGACACGTGTCCAGCAACTAAAGAACTGACAGGAAGGAGAGAACTAATTGGAAATCAGACCTTCCTCATTTAGGTGCCCTTTTCATAACTCCATTTTTCCGTGGGAAGGAGAAAAAAATTATATGGGAACTCAACTCTGTAATTTACTTTTTGCCCCTATTTTATTATTATTTTCATTCAAAAATATACATGCATATCACATGATGAGAGCAGTTTCAAAATTCTAAACATGTAGAATTCGAGTGTTCAAATAGAAAAACTCTAAAATTTGAGGAATTCTTCTCAAACTCCTAGCACACCTATAGCATGTTTGGTGGCATGACTTGGAAATTTGGCTAAGGTTGTGCTTCAAAAATCTTAATTACTTTGAATATGAATCCAAAATTCACATCCGATCTGTGATACACAAAACTCCACCGAACAACAAACAAAATTCCAATCCAAGTCAATTAGCCTCGTCCTATCGAATTTGGCAAATCGAACAAGGCCATGTCACTTGACAACTCACTTGACGCATTGTTGTTTTACTTTTCAATTTTCATAATCCAATTTTGGCATGAATGATGCGTGGACCAAACATGTAGCTATCGTAAGTGGCACAAAATGTGTAAGTGGATGGTGATTGCGTGGTGGAACCAATTGAGAGTTGTGGTGGTAATCGACATACAAGGCACTAATTGGTGACTTTCGTTTGTTAATGGACACTTGTGATTGTGATTATCCTAAACCTATCCTCTGTTCCTATTCATCCAACATGAACCATGGATATACTTAACATCCTACACAGATTTTGAAATTTGAACTCGTTCAACGTTGATAAATAAGGAAGTGAGCATCACCATCACTTGAGGGTGGTAAGAAAAATACACCCACAAGATTTGGTGGAGGTGTCAAATGGGGAAGAGATTGACGGATGCTTTAAGTTAATATTGTGAGAGGTGTACTCAGTAAGTGTGCCTTTCTACAAATCACCTGGTTAGTGGAAATGTCACTTGTAAATTGTAACAGTCTCTCCATTCCAGAAATCCACGAATTCCACCCATAAAAAATGGTGTCGGTAGTAATTGGATAACATAACCAGTCATCTACAACTACAAGGTATTGAATCATAAAATTGAAGTAGCCAAAGGTAAAAAGCAAGCCCCGTCTTCAATTGCCTCAAATAAAAGTATATCATCCAGGGGTGCAAATTTGTACCGCACAGAAGTTGAAGAAGGAGCTTAGCCTTAGTCCTGCAATCTGGGTCCTGGGCGTCATCCATAGTTGTTGTGAAACCCACATGCGAGTGCGAAAATGCTTTTATTACACGCCCCGTCCTTCTAAACCCATCCCCACCACGCCCGTCCCGAATTTGTGACATCAGCAACGGAAAAAGAATGGGAGAGAATGAGAGAGGAATGTGGCGAGAGAAGGGAGATGAAGGGTCATTTAGCTTTTTATTTTTGAATATGGCTGCTCTGTTTATATGGTTGTGAGGTTCACATAAACAACAATAAAATTTGTGTTCATGTAATTACTTAATTACCTATATTCATTTATTTCTATTTAGTTTTGATTAGATGGTTAAAATAAGGGTTTTTTTATTTACACCCCATATGTTGTTGAATATATCTCACTTAAAAATATAATATTAAACAACTTGTAACTCTAATATAAAATGATTATTCATGACACACCCCGACCTTAGGAGGTCGAAGCATGATGGGCGTTACCGTGAGGTGACGTAACCATAAAGGTAAGTGATGTGAAAAAGTGAATAAATTAAAACTAAACTAGAACTAATTTAAATTAAACAATGAAAGAGTGCGCAGTGTGGGAAGAATCCACTACAATTATTCAAAGCATAATAGATAGTAAGACTACAATGAAGTAGTCAAAGTAGTTAAAGTACACTTATTACACAACAATGGATAAGTTCATACTTCTAATCAAAGATAATGTCAGAACTGCCAAAGGTTCCTCGAATACCACAAAGAGTACAGCTATCTAGGTCCTGGAGGGGCGAAAAACAAAGTTGAGTGAGTCAGTAAAACAACGCTTGTAAGAAAACCTTTACTTTCGAACATACTAACCTCTCACTGTAAAACAAGTATAGTTTCCGTAAAACATACTACATAAGAATGTAAACAACAGTACAACAACAATGTAACCAGAAATATGTCAAGTCATGATGTATCAAATGCCACAGTAATATAATCATGTGATAATCAAATATAACTAAGTGCTCATCCATCTAAGCTGACACACAAGTTCGTACAGATAATTTTTGACATGAACAAGACTGGGTGTAATCAAGACGCTCTAGTACTACAATCACGTGAAGGATGGTGCAGAAGCACGGTCACATACAAGTCGTAATTGCCTAATGCAAACTATACAACAGGACTGGCACCTAACTTGGATCCAAGGAGAGCAAACGGTGCATATATGAACATACACGTGAAAGACTGGCCCTGGCTTTGGAGCGAGTACTAACATTGGGTGCAGCAAGATGAGCATGTACAAGTATGTATGAATGTCATGACAGTAATATCCCAACCATATAACAGCATTTATCACAATTATATCACAATAACCATACTTGGCAATATAAGCGTAAAAGTGAAGTAAATACGCATTTATGGAAACTATAATTATGTATAGGTATAAAAACAAAATGCCTACTCATAAGTACGTCGTCGGATCGTAGCCCCCGAGCCGTGCTTGACCCCTTAAGTCCTCGGGATATGTTTCCCCTATATGTGAAATAACTATATTTAAATTAATTAAAATACATATACGGAAACTTGAATAAAACCCTCATAGTTTGCTCAAACCTAGGGTTTAAATACATGAAATCGATCTACTCGACGTCACAGACCTTCACAAATTTTCAGAATAATTTTTGGACATCAGACGAGCCTTCATGCGCGGGCCAAGGCAAGGCCACATGCGCCACCACGCGCAGGTAAAGATTGATAGAGGTTTAACGGCCGTTAAGAATATTCCGTTAAAACCTTAACATAAGTTAACGGCATTACCTGACGCCGTTAGAATATTCCGTCGTCTTCTTTGGTCATCCTCACCGGTTGCCGCAGTCTGAACTCGCCAAAAACTGGAAAATTTTTAAACCTTCATTTCTCAACCATTTTTTCACAAAATTTATATGGAAATAAAGCTTATGAAGTGTAGAATCACATTATACCTTTTGGAGTCCAAAAAGTGGACGGAGGTGGCCTAAAAATGGCTTGAAAGGTACGGCTAAAACTGGGACTTCTTGAAACTGGGTGGTTTCACGTCAAAACTTCCTCAAACATGTCCTAGGAGCCTTGGGAAGTTGAAAGGAAACTTCCCCGACCTTCAAAACTCCTTGACTCGGCCTGAAACTCGTTGAACTCAAGCTCATTGAGTTCAGACCTTTTGAGTTCGACGTCCAAAACTTGGTGAACACATGATCCAGTGGTATGGTTGTGTTTGTGGAGGTGAGAGGAACACAATGGTGTAGTTTCAGGTCACATCGGTGAAGTTTAGTGTTTGTTTGATAGAGTTGCAGAGTGAGAGAATGAGAGAGTGCCTTTGGAGAGAGAAAGAAGAGAGAGAGAGAAAATTGCTTTTTGAATTTTTGATTGGTGACTGGTGTGAGTGAGTAACTTGATTGGTGGCTTTTGAAGAGGGAAAAATATTTGATTAGGTGGTGAGGAGAGAAACCGGGAAAAAGAATGGAGGAGAGTGATCGGTGGAAAAGAAATGAGTGTGTTGTTGACTGGGGAGACACATATCTAGTTTTAAAAGAAGAAAAAAAAAAAAGGATTTTCAGATTTCGTATAGTAAAAGCAATTCAGAAAAATCTATCCAAAACAGTGTTTCTAACACTGATGAAATTAACTGACACTCGTAACAACGAGTATAATTTAATTACGATTGCGAGAATAATAGTTTAAGAGTGAACAAATATGTCCAAGTCACTTGCCAACAAGGGCATAAATGTTAATTCACATACTCGGGGAGAAATTACATAGAAAATTAGGGACGGGTCGTCACAACTCAAGCCCTCATAGCTACTCTTACTCTCTATTGTAGAACAAAACCCTAAAAACACAAATAAGTTGATGAAAGAATATGTTTTGATGAACGGAACAAAAAATCGAGTTATGCTCCTTATTCATTCGTTGGTTTTCACATTCAACAAATTATTTAAATAATGGAATAAAAATTTGACTTTTTACAAAGCCCAACTCTAATTGGAATCCAAGAAATAGGAAGAAAACTGAAAAATGTTGTAAAATTTTAAGATGTGATTAAATGTAATATTCTTGTGGCTGTTTGATAATGAAGAAATTCAATGTTTTTTGGCTGGTTGGAACTTGGAACAGACATGACCTTATAAGAACAATTCCTACCATTTGTCCATCAGACTTCTTAGAATCCAACGTGATTGTTCAAGAAAATTTGACGGATGTTTATAAATCAAACGTCAAGATGGAGATTTTATACAACAATTTAATGCATCTTTCTTGTCTTTAAAATGTGGATTATTCTTTTGTTTGAAAGAGATGAAGAGTTTGATGTGTGGTTAATTAGTTGATGATTGTGGGGTGTGTGAGATGTGAGGTGTGGGGTGTATGAGATGTGAGGTGTGAGGGTAGTATTGGAAAATACGTGGGGTGTGTTAAGAAAAATTTTAATTTAAAAAGTAAATATGAGGTGTATTAAGTATGTGGAGGTGTAGTCAACAAAATGTAAGGTGTTAATAAAACAGGCCTTAAAATAATAATTTTATGGAGTTATGGTTGACAATGGTTTTATTAATATGTAGTTTATATAAACTAAATAGTGAAACTTTCTGACCAACTTCAATGGTCAAGTCAAACTAAAATTTAGGTTTTAAACCCACACAAACCATCTCCAATGAATCATTGGGCTAAAAACAAGTTTTAGGATCAAACTTAAAATTTGAGCATATTTAGCTCAAAACATAGGCCCATCACTATGCGTGCACGTGCAAGAAAAAAATGCACATTAGCACACTAACAGGTAAATTAGTATATCCTACAAATATAAAAAGGTATTTTATTCAAAATTATCAATATGTTAAATATAACAGGTAAATTATTTTGCACAACATATATATAATAACAATATAAGTTCCTAGTAAGTTATGTTATGATACATGCAAAATAGTTTACCTACAAAATAAATAAATATTTTTATTCAAAATTAATTAAATACCAATATTTTGCAATATATATAACAATTTACCTACATGCAAAATAATTTACCCACAAAATAAAAGAATGTCGATTGATTGCACACTCTATATAATAATAACAAAATGTGGCTAGTATATATGTAATATCACATGAAAAATAATTTACCTAAAAAAAAAATGTTTTTAGCCAATTGATTCAAAAATAATTAATTACATATTATTTTACATAAAAATATAGATAAATTATTTGCACGCATATATATAATTTTAACAAAATGTGCCTAATACATACATGCAAAATAATTTACCTACAATGATTGTCAAACAAATAAAAGAAATGAAACATATGATGTTAAGAGAAGTATAAGGAACATAATTTTATAATAATAAGGCCCTTATTTCCCACAATTATGGTGGATAATTAAAGTCATTAGCATAATTAGAGTGTTGTGGCACAATTGTAAATAGTTTGAAAATAATAGGTATTTATTTGTTTACATGGCAGTCTACTTCAAATTTGGGTTTTATTTGGATGTTTAAAATGAGATGAGTTTTTGTCAAGAAATTATATCTAAAGAACCTTTTTTTTTTTTTCTTAAATTTCTTGTTTGGGCTTTTCACTTAGAATCTCTTGAAGGAAAATTTTGTTTATACCTGATTGTCGTCTATAGACATCCATTTCTTTAGACACCCTTCTAAATTTTGTAACTTTCTTTGGACATCCTACTAAATTTAAAATAATCCTAAATCAAACACAATGCATGTTGTGGCCACAGACAAGGTGAAATTTCTCATAGCCTCTTTGGGCCCAAGAAGAGTGGATAACCATAGTTGCCACCCGTTATCCCCATTTTTTATGAAGAAAAAAAAACACAATGCATGTTTAATATAAAAACAAGAGTGCATGTGGTCCATATCCTATTGAATAGTGTGTTGGGTCTCTATCAATGTGTCCTAGGTTCAAAACTCCCCCCCCCTCCCCAAAATATTGTAATAGTTTCGAATTCTCCTCCTACTCTTAATAATAATATTTAGAAAAAAAAAGATAAAAATATGTGTCTTTTAATAAACCCAAGAAGTTTAGGCCATTTTGCTACAATCTCTCATCTGCAAACCCTAGTCTCTCTCTTCCTCCCCCTCTCTATTTGGCGAGAACTTGCTCGAGTTTGGATTGAAGAAGCTAGCCACATGAACATGCACATCTCTCTCTGTAATATACTAAGACCTAGTTTGGGAGTGAGGTGCTTAAAAAAAAAGCACCCATGAAAAAAAGCTGTGAGGGTTTTAGGTGTTTGGTAAACTGAAAAAAAATGGCTTATTTTGGAAGCTGCTGTGAGAATAAGCTGAAATCAAAGGAAAAAGCTGAAGCTGCTATTTGTAGCTTTGGAAAACTGGCTTTTTTTCAAAGCACACGGAGCTACAGTGCTTCTTTAATGAAAAGATCCACTATTAGACTGTTTTTTTTCCCAAAAGCTCTTTTACAAAAAAGTTTACCAAACACTCTGCTGATTTATTTCACAGCCGCTTATTCTCACAGCACAGCCGCTTATTCTCACAGCAGTTTTTTTTCAAAGCACAGCAATACCAAACCAGCCCTAAATTGATTGCATATAGTAAATATAAATGTCATTGCACCATTATAATTATGAGCACTTGATGAGTGACGTTTCATGTCCATCAATTTAATTAATGGGTAGTGTTAGAAAGATAAAAAATATTAAACCAAATGAGGTGGTTGTTGATGATTGGATTATTACTTAAGCGTTGATTAATGTGCTTATTTTATACTGGTGACACATAATTTGATTTACACATTTAGTTTAAAATTTTGGTCTCCCTACTATTACTTTTAATTAATCAACATACCAGAACTAAAAGTTCGTTGGTTTACTTCTGTTATGATGAGTTTCATGTAAGAGATCAGAACTTGCAGTCCCTCTAACTCTCATCCTATAAGAAGAACCAAACTCCAATCCGTTGTTTTTATTCTCATCCAACAATGCGTGGAAGCTTACGAACCCATATAATATGAATTTAACGTTCGTATTCAAGCAATTGGAAGTCTATAGCTCATTGCACACATAACCAAACGGGATATGACTATGTTCGACTCGATGTATGGTTACCTTGAATATTTTTTTCTCGACATTGATGAAATATTATTATTTTTTATTTTTTATTTTTCCCTAGGAATGAAATATCACATCCTAGTGACAAAGTTATTCAATTGAATCAGAACCTAGCGTTCGTTGATTCAACACAATTGAGGGCCTAAAGTTCCTCGACTTTAATTGCATAACCACATTCGACAAATTATTTTGGTGGTACTTATGCTATTGAAATTAGGCATCGACCGTGATTCTGCTATATGCCACAATATTTGGTGTATTTTTGCCAAGTCTTGATTCAAAACAAAGGAAAAATGGTCGAGACAACTTTATGATTCTGCAATGAATTTGACCTCTGTGGATATAACCAACTCTGAGATATAAGACTTGCTCTCCATACACATGGAAAAATCATTTTATTCCATTATTATTGGTTGAGTTTTATCTCCTACATTGAGCCTAAGCAATTAACGGTAGAGATATCCCCCAATAGCTTGACTTTTAATTTAATTTTATTATATTCATTTCAGTTCTGTTTATTTCAATTTTCTTATGTTATTATGAAATCGTTAATTGAATTTACTTTTATATTAAATAGTATTTAATTCCATTCATTCCACTTTTGGAAAGAAACTTCTACTTCTACGGAATGCATCGTCAAATATTCAATATGATTCCATATGATTTAGTTTTGTTCAAGTAACGGATTCTAGCCAATTGAAAGGATCCTCTGATCAATCCAGAGATCATTTCGATTCCATTAGTAATGAGGATTCAGAATATCACACATTGATCAATCAAAGAAAGATTCAACAACTAAAAGAAAGATCGATTATTTGGGATCCTTCTTTTCTTCAAATGGAACGAATAAAGATAGAATCAGACCGATTCCCTAAATGCCTTTCTAGATATTCCTCAATGTCTCGACTATTCACATAATGTGAGAAGCAAATGAATAAGCATATGCTTCCGGAAGAAGTCAAAGAATTTCTTGGGAATCCTACAAGATCCATTCGTTCTTTTTTCTCTGATAGATGGTCAGAACTGCATCTGGGTTCGAATCCTACTGAGAGGTCCACTAGAGATAAGAAATAGTTAATATATTCAAGATAATTACGTATCTCATTCTACTCTTTTCTTTCACAAATGGATCTAAGCAGAAATTTTTTTTCCTATCACAAAACTTGTGTGTGATATATATGATACATGTGTAGTACAAATGATTTGAGCAAGGAATGCGTATCGACCCATGCAGTGTTGTAGCTAACGCATTAGGTATCCTGCCTGGGGAGTACGTTCACCAGAATGAAACTCAAAGGAATTGACGGAGGCCCACACAAGTGGTGGAGCATGTGGTT